ACTTCTGCAAAATTATTTGAAGAAGAAACTCAGGGAGTAAGGAGTGCATTAAATGTGGCTCAGATTCTAGTGGCAAGAGCAAGCTCATAAGAACAGGGTGATGAAAACCAGCGCAATAGCCATTCTGCAAGTCAGAAGAAAGAGACTTTGGTGGTGGTAGATAGAGACAGTGCCGAGAAATCAACTAAAGAACCAGTTGAGGAAAGAATGGAGATAGGCCAAGATGGGACTACAAAACAAGCCTGTGGGAGAAGTCCATTAGGCCAAAGGGCGAGACAAACCACTGCAATGTGGAAAAGGAAAGGCCAAGCAAGGGGGAGACTTAATAGGACAACCAGTCCAATGGAAGTCTCTCATAATACAGGAAGGGGTAAAAGACAAAGGCTAGATATGGACCTTGTGGTGGAAGAACAACCTACTGTTCTAGAAGTCGTTAGGCGCCCGCTAGGTGCTCGACCAGCGCCTAGAGAGCCTAGGCGGGGCCTAGTCGGCGTCTAGGCGGGGCCTAAAAATCAAGATTAAATATCTTATTTTTTATTTATTCTCACTATCTACAAAATAAAACTATCTCAACATAAAATAAATCAACACACCTAAGTCCAAATAATAATATTAGTATATTATAAAAAAAAACATGATAACAAAATAATGTAATTAGTATTTAAAAAAAAATTGAAAATTTTCCGCCGAGCCTGCCTAGGAGCGCCTAGGTGGCGCCTAGGTCCGCCTAGGCATGCCTAGGCACCGCAAAGCCGCCTGGCCGCCGAGCCCGCCGAGTCCGCCAAGCCCGCCTAGGAGCGCCTAGGTCCGCCTAGGCCCGCCTAGCCACCTCATCGATTTTTCGGCCGATTTGTGCAAATCGGAGACGACCGAGCACCACCTAGCGTCTAGACGGCGCCTTGGCCGACTTTTAGAACAGAGGAACAACCTAAGGAAGCAGCTAAGAGAAAGTGTACTCAAACTCAAGATGACAATGAACAACAGGTGGGGGGTAGCCAGCCTTGAATGGCCCCAAATGGATCAATGAAGACAATCTTGTGGAACTGTAGAGGTCTGGGAGGACCCTTTACAATTTCCCAACTGAGGGAAGCCATGAAGGCCCACCTCCCTAGTTTTGTCTTCGTATCTGAAACTAGAAAATCTAAGCCTGGAAATTGTCTGTAAAAGTTGGGGTTTGCTGAGAGAATGGTGATTGTTGACCCTATGGGGCTTAGTGGCCATCTGCTTTTAGGTTGGAGTTTGGATGTTGCAGTCCTTCAAATGATCCATCTTTTTTTTTTTTTTTATACAAGTGCAATTCCAGTTCATTTCTAATGATACCCCAGAATGGATTATTTTTGTTTATGGGAGCACTGACAGACATACTAGAGAGCTATAGTGGGAGGAATTGGTACAAGGGAGAACCTTATGGGGTGAGAAGTGGTGCATATGGGTTGATTGGAATGATCTTTGTCGTAACAATGATAAAAGAGGGGGGAGGCAGAGGTCACATAGCAGCTGTGAAGCTTTCAATACCTTTATTTCTAACATGGGGATGATGGAGATTGAAATGGAGGGGTACCCCTTCACCTGGGGTAATAGTAGAAAGGAGGAGGGCTTTGTGGATGAGAAACTTGATAGGGTGTTTGGATCTTTTTCTTGGGTGGCTGCCTACAGTGGAGCTAAAGTGACTACCCATTTTAAAGTTCATATGACCACTCTTTACTTATTTTGGACTCTGGCAATCAACCAAGGAATTACTTCCTCACGTTTAAGATATAATGTCTATTAATTAATTCGATTACTGATAATCAAGAATTAATTAATTTATTATTATTTCACCGAAGTTAGCGCTCGTTCATCACATTATTACTATACCAGAATTTAATCCACCTGGAGGGTTTAGCATAATAATCCTTCATGAACTCACTCTGGGGACATCATCAAACTAAATGTATATGGTGACCGTAAATATCCTAATAGCACATCATACATACACTAATATTACCCAAGACAGTAGGAATATTAATTCAGCGAACTGAACCTCACCCAAGTGAAATAAAATAATATATACTGCATAATTTAATATCTTACGATTTAAGAGAACACAGTAATTAATCGAGGCCTAGTTCGTTTACGCGATAAGTATAAAACGAACTTCTCCTCTCTGAGATCATGTTCAATACATAAATGTACTAGTGCAACTAATCAGTCAAGAAAAACTGTACTGTCGCCATTATAACCGTTCGGGATGGGGTGTTCATTTCCTCCTAGGTTGTGAACCATAATTCTTGTTTCGTAAGTAACTGATAGAATGATCTTCGGTTCGCCCGATGACGACCGTTCTATCTAAGTGCAAAACAACAGAACATAGAACTTGTTTAATCTAACATGATTCTCATTTATAAAGGATAAAAGTGTAATATCATCCAAAGCCAAGCTTTCAGTATGTAACACTAACACCAAATGCATGGCAGAATTCGGCCTAGAGTGCGAACAGGTGGTCCAGTTTGCCTTTTCGGCCCATTTTGTGTGTCGGGAGCTTATTTTTTGTGCTGAACCTATTCTAAATATTATAGTAAAATGGAAAAAAAATCTTG